ACTTTGTGGCAGTGAGTATATTATGTATTTTTATAACACCTCGCAAATTTCGTTTCCACAAATGCTGTCAAATTACAAAAATTGATAGCGGCGATACATACGTAACGCAATAATCTTACGAAACTAACACTGACAGTGTCAATTTGGAAATAAGTAGTCATGGCGAAGATTAGGTCTCTTGTAGACTGATGTATTAGTGTCATCTCAGGACTATACTTGAAATGCTTATAGTGCTAATGGTTTGGATCGCAGGTAAAGCCAACTTTAAAAGCACTATCTAGGTGATTGCGTTGTCTGTTCGAAGGTACTACAGTGTTATGTAGGGACTAAGTCATAGTATCTCAAAATCATCATTTAATATTTATCAGTTGAAACCAACTGTCCTAGAGTAAGATGAGGATAGAAGAGAGAAGATTTTTACGTCTGATACAAATCACTATGAATAGGGATGTTTCTATGCCAGGTCGGCCACAATAGCGTGAATTGTGTTGTCTATGTGGGGATAATTGTCTCAGTGCTGGGATATTTCAAATTGTCAATTAGTGTTTGATTAGTGTAACTATGGATATTGTAGGCCAAGCAGGAACCAATCACATTGATAGTGTGTTTCAGACTTTTGTCTCTTTCTTCAAGTGAGCATTTTGTTTGACTGTGGACAGTCGCCATGTCAAGGTGACCAGTATTGTATTTGTATCGCTCTATTCATACACATGTGTTTGCAGTGAGTCTGGATTTTTGGTGCATATGATGAAAAAATAAAGGGAATGATTTCACACAATGTTAAGGTTTCATGTTTGTTTATACACCCTCTCCTAATTACATGCCCGTTGCAAAGCATATTTGTTGTCTTTTAAGGATTCTGCCAGAGGGGGAAAATAATGTATCTGTAATTGGTGTGTCATGACCAAAATTTTCACAATATGGTAAATATAAGGAGGTTTGGGGAGTTTCTAATTCCGTGCCTGGTTGGCCTTTTCCAGAATGCCTGGATGGCCTTTTCCAGAATGCCTGGATCCTGTCCGTCAACACAATACAATTTTGTTTTCCCAAAGTTTATATTTTTGGTAATGTATTTCCTCTATTATAAGCATAAGCGCCAATAAAAATTGCCAATTAAAAAGAGTTGGTATATTTGTATGGATTACTGTGACTATGGTCATGTGACTACAACAATCAAGTACACCAGGGCAAGCTCTTCTCTATCCAGCCTATACTTAATCTACTATTTTTCTCTACTTTTTGTCTTTGCAGATGTCGCTATTGATTGGTCAGATCATGCACTTTGGTGGCCAGATAAAAATACATGGCTGTCACGAACAAGATCCACGCTTGACCAGTGCGCTGTCCAGGCTGATGCCAAGTTACATTTCACCCCCATGCATAAAACATTACGTATTCAGTTACCAGATATGCAGCAAATTGATATGCGAGCAGATTTCTCAATCAACGTATTCAACGCTGTCATTGATGTGTGCAAAGACATAGGTGAGTTACCCAGCCTCCTCTCAATACTGCATTCTCTTGACTAATGTCACTTCCTTAATTGCCAAAGTCAATGATGCGATTGGATTGTAAGTAGTGAACATTCCACTTGTGGTCTTTTATGCGAATACAGTTAAGTTTAAGCTCCATGGCAGTTTCAATGAAAAACTCTTGAATCTGTTCACCTTATGGTCAAACTCGTAATGTATCATCCATTTTTGGGGTCAGACAGTAAGGATACAGGCCAGTTGTTTTGAACCACAAGTGTCCTATTTCTTACAGATAATTTGATTGTCTAACTGCTGCAGTAACATTGAATAAATACCTTACTCATGATTGTTGCGATTTAAAACATTCTAGAACTTGTACTTTTTTATTAAAAAACTTCATGAATCTTGAATTACTGTATAAGTCATATTTATTCGCTGGGTTTCATTGTCGCTTATTTCGCTGATAGCTAAACGCACTAAAATCCAGTGAATATGCAAATTACGGTATAGAATGTATTGTTTCCTTTATAGTGCAGTGAATTTAAAACCTAGTGAATATTCTTGCTTTTTAACAAATTAAACTCCTACTTCAGTATGTTCATTGAACAAATACCGTAACAAGCTTTCAAAGATCACTGTATACATTAACTATGCATTTTTAATTAGTTTCATGTAAATTATTCAGATTTCGCTGCCCTACTGCCCCCCTATATTGTATATGTACATCGTGTGATGCCGACTGAATACCAATCGATGTCTCAGAGTTCCATAAATGCATGGATGCGTGAAACCTCAATAAACTTTAACTTTAACCAGTTTGTTTTGAATTTATCCTTTCAAGGTCTTTGTAAAATACTAAACCAACAAACATGAATACATGTATTGGAATTATGTGAAGGGTGGAAACAGGAATACACATTATGAGAAGCTTCATTTCTAATAAAAGTCGCACCCTTTCCTTTTGAACAATTGAGAGCCAAAAATTCACCACTTTTCATATGAGTAGATGTTCTATTATGCATTCTCTCTGTTGCATTTTACCATTTTAATAGAATCTATGCCTTCTAATGCAGATTTCACAGTACCAGATTACCCACAATACAGTACGTCCTTTGAGACAAAATGGTGTAGATATTTTAGAAAAGAATGTTTACAAATTGTCTGAATTGCAAACCAAGGAATAACAATTTAAAAATCAGTAAATTTTGTTACTGCCTTGATTCCATGTCTATAGCGAGTCTGGTAGATGATTGCCCTTTGACCTCTAGCTAATAAAACCCATCCCAAACACTTAACAAGTCAGCTTGCTTGAGTATAGCCTATTGAAATATAAATTGCTTGTCTTCACATTCAGTGGTTTTCATGACATTTTTCAGCTCTGTGTAAACAAGATATTTCATTCAGAAGGTCTGTGAACTTTGTTGGTATCGGCAATGAATTAAATATTTCCCTCAAGTATCCTACATATGTGATAGATGACGGTTGATACCAACAGTGTCCACTGAGACATCATATTGCCTATCGGCTGCATACTCTGTTGGAATGTGCTTTCCATGTTGGGTATTCCATTTGACGTAAGCCGTTGCAAAAATTATTCCCAGTCTCAAGTTAAAATTTTGTAATATGGCAACTTTCTAATTGCTCGTCTGCCTGTCATGTACAATTGAATAAAAAGAGGTCACAACCTTTCCTCATCAGAAATGCCAGTCTTTTTTGCTAAGTCGTAGTTGTCATCATTGATGTAAAGGGAAGCCTAAGTCACAGAGTGTGAACAGTTTTGAATTGTAGTATACCCTCCATATTAGAAACATTACAATAGACAGGAATGCTCCAACTTTTTATGGAATTCAGTCTTTATGACATACTTTCGCATGATAAAAAGTAAAGACTTGAGGTCTGTTTATTGTTTTAATGAATAACATAACTATTTGGTGGTCTTATTAAACATTGGGTCCTGTCACTTTCTACAAATTGCTTGCACTGTAAGTATTTAAAGGAAATTTGGCATACATTAAATGCACATATGAAACTGATGATACTTATCTTTGAGAGCTGTCTTCTAGCGCTTTCGTCATTATACACATCTAAATTCATTGCATTGATGGCTAGCTCGGCTTTTATCATGTCTCTTTATGATCCAGCATTTATCTGCCACTGAGATATTGCAAAGCCAGTTTCAAAATATTTTAAGTCATAGCACAGTTAACAATTGCTCAGTTTAGATAGGATGTTATCTGTATTTACCATTGATAAAGATTTTGCAATCTGCTGTCAAAATTAAAATTGCTTGATTCAAATACATCAACATAATTGTCATAGAAACTGTTAATTTAGTACTTCCGTCATTGTACATTTCAAAAGCATTCATGAAGAAGGAATTTTACAAAAACTCATTAACCCCAGAAAAATTGTTGTGGATTGCTCAGACTTGAAAATTTGTCTTTCACTGTATATTATTAGCTCCGTCGTCGAAGTCGAGCGGAGCTTATCATATTTCTGATTGTCCGTCGGCGTTGCCGTTGTCAACTTTACATTTTCGACTTCTTCTTAAAAACCACAAACTGTATAGCTGTGAAACTTTCTAGGAAAGTACCTTGGGTGGTTCTCTCTCAAGATTTGTTCATTTCGTGTGGATATGTTCAACTGTCTTATTTATAGCGAATATTTTTGTCGATTTCTTCTTGAAAACCGCTAGCCCAAATGGTTTGATACTTGGTATGTTAGGTACATTTTGTACCTTAGGTGAACCTCTCTCAGATTTGTTCATTTTGTGATGATATCTTTATTTCTATAATTTGATGAATATTTTTGGCATTTTTAGTAAAAAATTATATTTTTGACTTCTCCTTGAAAACTGCTTGTCTGATTGCTTTGATACTGTATATGTAGGTACATCAGGTGGACCTCTGTTTGGTTTGATACTTGGTATGTAGGTACATTTTGTACCTTAGGTGAACCTCTCTCAGATTTGTTGATTTTGTGACAATATCTTCAATTCTCTAATTTTGATGAATATTTTTGTAATTTTGGGTCAAAAACGTTTTTTTCTTGAAAACTGCTAATCCGATTGCTTTGTAACTATTTGTAGGTACCTTAGATGAATCTCTGTCAGATTTGGTAATTTCATGACGATATCTTCAAATCTCTAATTTTAGTAACTTTAATTTTAGTAACTTTATTTATAGGTACCTTGGGTGGACCTCAGTCAGATTTGTTCACTTCCTGTCAACATCTTTAATTCTCTATTTTTTGTCATTTTTCATTAAAAAACATATTTTTGACTTGTCCTTCAAAACCAGTAGTCCAAATTCTTTGATACTTGTACACATGCAGCTTCTGTAGACCTCTATTAGATTTGTCCATTTTGTAAAGATATCTTCAATTCTCTATTTTTAGTGAAATATTCTCTGCAACAAAATCAAGAAAGTTGGTGTCTTGCGATATTAAAGCAGTTAGCATTAAGTTTAAATATCTTCTTAGTCATTGCTTTCAGGGCATGCATCACAAACAGCAGAGCTATATCAGCAGACAGGCTGCTAGTTCTATACATCATTCATAAAATCATATGAAGTAAAATCCTTATAAATTATCACACAGATTAATACTCTTTAATTAGTAAATATGATAATTCTGTTAATTAATGTAATTTAATCACCAAAGATAATTGTGACTACCAACCAGATTACTATATCCAATCGAACAAATATCTAGGTCGCAAAGACATCAAAAGCAAAAAATTTCATTCGAATCAAGCGTTTTTAATTTAATCTCAAGAGTCCTCATCTTAAAAGATTATAGTTTGCAATGCCTCATGGGAAATTCAACCCTTTCAAAGTATCGTTACTATGTCAACTAAATGTTACATTCAATCGCAGAATGAACATAAACTTGAAATTTTGAATTTCATTCCTTGAGCAGTTTAGCATGTATATCATGATGCCTTTGGTGTCTACTGCCTGAATAGGCTGTCAATCACAGCCCTCTAACAATATCTAAAGCCTGATTTCTATCAACCGACTATTTTCCCAGCTTCTCTTTACTCCCCTAATAGCTGCAGAAACACGAAAAAACTGAAAACATGAAAAGGAACAAGAGTGGTAAAAAGCTTTTGTCACAGTGTAACAGTTCAGGTTATTGCTTGTGTTAAATGGCATTGGTGTATTATTACAAGCATAAACAGACTATGTTTGTACACTGGTTGTATTTAGTTTCAACTTCCAGTCTAGAATCTGAACTTGAAAAGCAACGATTCAAAAAAGAAAGTATGCGACTACAACCACTGATAACAGTCATTGCTGGATACTCTCATTGTATAGTCTTGGATACATTCTTTAGATATTTTCATAATAAATTTTCATTCATGCAAATATTTTAAACAAATGAAATCACCAGTGTTCTATATCAATTACTGAGTTATTAAAATACATTCCCAGTTGTATTTAAGTAATCCGGTGTTTTTTTTATGAGTAGTTCTGAGGGAATTCTGAGAAATTAGTACACTGTATCAATTCTGGCGTCGCTAAGATTAATTAATTTGTTCTTTTGTTAATATGCTGCTTATTATTCCCCGAGGTCTCGAATATTTGCTGGCCTAATTTCCTTTTTAACTACCTTCTATATTTTCTTCAAATTATCATGCGTTTTGTATCTGTGTTTGATCAGCAGTTTTCCTGAAGCGCATGCAGACCCCAGCTGCATGGCCCCGACGCTGACAAATTAAGTACTCGTTCTGAAAATAAAACTCTTAATTTAATTGTAGTTGTATGATTTAATTTAGGCCATAGTTGTGAATATCATTAACAAAACAGATTTCCGTCTAATACCGTCAGTGTCCTAATGACTGCGGTTTTCATTGTGGTTCTTGTGTTATCCGGATGTGGCTAGTATTTTTATACTGAATTAAAATAACATGCTATTTTTAGCATCTACTTAGTCACTCACAGGACAAGCCCCCCCCCCCCCCAACCCACACCACACACACCCTGGTATGATCAACCAATTTGGCATGTAAAATGATTTTATCAGGTTGTAAGTGAGAGTGAAATGGTGAAATTGAATTCATATGTCTGTGGTTAGTTTCCGCTGAGTTATTGATATTTTTAGCTCCGCTGTCGACTTTGTCGAGCGGAGCTTATCATATGAGTGATTGTCCGTCGTCGTCTGTGTCAATGTTTTACTTTTTCGACTTCTTCTTGAAAACTACAAGCCTGAATGCTT